TTAAAAAAAAAAAAAAGGATTATGAAAAGCTAACTAATCTCATGGAGGAGGTGAGAATGTAGCCATAATCCTTCCAGGGCAAAAAAGAAATAATGGAGGGAGAGAATGGAAAGATGGGGAAATAGCAGAGGGGCGACTAGGGGATGATGGAATTGGCCGTTATAGCTTGTAGAGCAATGGATGAAGACAGAAGAGCAGAGACCCCTACCCATCACATGTCGCACACACCCCCACAGCAGCACAGAGTGATCGCAAAGGCACTGGATTCCAAGTCAAGGTGACGTGGGTTCTAGCCCCAGCCCTGCCATCCAACTCCATGTGTGGCACGGAGACATGGTGGGTCATAGCAGGAGACCTGGCTCCAAGCTGGGTCTGTAAGAATCATGAACTTGGGCAAGTCACTTCACCTGCTAACCTGCCCTAGACGGAAAAGGAGGCAACCTAAAGCCTTTCTTCTCTGACACCAATTCTAACTCCTAAACCATGGGGTCCACCGGTACGTACAGATAGGGCATGGAGATAAGGAAACTCCAGCATGGTTAGTAGGGGTGGGTGGTGGGGGTAGAGGAACTGATTGCCATCATCCATAATGAAGTCTGCCAGAGGAGAGGGGCTGGGCCTGGGGAGGGGCAAGGCCCAGGCTGGGCTGCGGCAGAAAGCAGACAAGAGGGCTCAGACGAGGACACCATTGGACACCAATGGTGGTTGTGACACCACCATTTCCCCCCATCAGTTTGAGTTCAGGAAAGGGAAGTCAGAAGTCCTCACGTCAGTTCCTGGTCACAACCTTTCTTACCTCTCCACTCCCTTCACCATCTCCCCCTCTTTCCCCAAGGTTCCCATGGACCGCAGGACAGGGAGATTGTAACTGAGAGGGGTAAGACCAAGGCAGCAAGGGAAGTGTCCCCAAAGATGACGAGGAATAGTAACTTCCGGATGCCAGGTCTGATGCTAGAGAAAGGAACCAGGGTTCCCAAAACTGGGGTTCAACTCACCCCTCAGTTTATCCTTTATTAAAAGCGGTGTGGCGGGGGGGATTGCTGCTGCTGCTGCTCTCTCTGCAATGATGAGAGAATACAGCATAGCAGGCTTTGAAGTTCCAGAAGAAACTGGCCTGAGTCTCATCCTCCCACACCACCCCCACTACAGGACAGTTGATGGGGAGGTGGGCAGGTGAGGGCTTTATCTTACAGCTGCATGGAAGGTGGCACTCAGTGATCACAGAGGAGGATTACTGATGACAGTAAGTAAAGTTGGGGAGGACAAGAAAGTCCAGACAGTGGATGATGGTAAGTCATCCCAAGCATTGCCCAGTAGGTCTCCCAAGGAGAGCAGCACCATGACTTCGCTCTTGCACCCTAACCTGGTGATGGGCACCTAGCACGTGCTCAGCAACGCCCATGGAGGAGCTGGCAGCAAAGTTTGTCTCTGCCAATGCCCCTGAAGAATGGGCCCTTCCATAGTGAAGCCAAGAGGTATGGAAGTCTGGGGCCCAGGGACTTGCATCCACTCCCTACCCCCATACAGCCCTCCAGACATTCCTTATGCAACATACATTTGTTGAGCACCTGCCTACTTGCTCCAAGCGGGACACTGGGCTAGACCCTGAGGATACATAAATGAACAAGATTCATTCCCTGACCACAAGGAGCTCACAGTCTAGCTGGGGAGGCAGACACAAGTGAACGAGAAGGTATGATGCAACATCAGCACCCCAAGAGACGTTATGCTGTGCTATGGGAGGCCAGGGGAGAGGGAAGTGAGCAAATCTGGGGCAGACAAGAAAGGGCAGAAGGCTTCACAGAAGTAGAGGTGTCTGAGTAGGGTTCTAAGGGATACACAGGAGTTCTCCAGATGGTGTGGAAAGCTTCCAGGCCGAGGAAATAGCTTGAGCAAATATGTAGAGGTATGAAAGACACAGAGGCATTGGGGTACGGCTCCGTGGGGGCACAGGCTAGATGGGGCTGGAAAAGGCCTGGAGCCAACTAGGAATGGCTAAGCCTTGACTACATTGGTCTGCTCCGGCCCCTGCCCTAGGAAGGGGAATTGCCCAAGAACGAACAAAGGGGGCTTTTGGGTGGGGTTCCCCACTCAAGTTCAAGAAGAGGATCAAATGTCTGTGTCATTGGAAAGCAGTGTGGCCAGGCCCGGGGTTGGCTTCAGTCATCTTTGGGTAGGAAACCTGTGCATGCCTTTGTGTGCCCTTGCTTGTGTTTTGTTTCCGGTCGCCAGTGGTTTCCTAGGAAGGTTCCTTGTCTAAGCTCCAAGTTTGGCTTGGCTGATCCCAGGGAAAAGGAGACTTGTTTGCAGTTGGGTAGGGAAATCAGAGTCTTCTAGAGGCAGGACCAGAGGGCACAGGACAGAAGCCAGGGCAATTATGGGCAGGTTCCCTGGCCCCCGTTTCCTGGGCAATTTCTGTAGCCCCTTATCCACCCTGCTTCCCTCCCCCACACCAAAGGCAGTTAGGCAGCTCTGAGAGGAAGTCCCAAGACATTCTTTAATCCTGCCAAGCCTGCTCCCCTCCCACCAGGGGAAGCGCCTGCCTTGGGAGGGGAGGGCACTTTCCTTCCCTCTCAAGGCTCCCCCAGAGTATAGGCAGAGGAGCTGGCCTCCACCAAGTTGGATGGAGATGGGCAGGGACCCAGAGTGGCATAGGCAGGTGGAGGGGCCATCAAGGCCGGGGAGGTAGCAGGGTCTGGTGGGGATGTGGAGTGGGGGCAGAAATGGGACGGGAGGGAGGAAGCTGGAGTGGAGGCCACTTCCTGGGCACCCCTGCCCCCTCGGCCTGGAGACCAGTATCGGCTTCGGAACCTCCGGAGCAGCATGAGGAACGTGATGACCAGGAGGTCAAAGATGAGTTCAGCCATCTCCACCACAGACAGCACCGAGGAGCCGAACCACAGGCTCCACTGGCTGCCCAGGTTGGACAGGAGAGTGGCCATCTGTGAGGGAGAAAGGCACATTGATCACTGGGGCAGAGGGCCCTGGGTGGGCTCTAGAAGAAGAGCCCCATCCCTCCCTCCCTGAGGTCCTCCCTCACCCCTTTCAGCCTCCTGGTGGTCCCCTGGACCCCTTCTGTCCTAGTCATACCCATCTGGCGCATCCTTCCCCCCCTCCACCACCACACCGAAAGACTTCATTCCCCAGCCAAGCTCCCCTTCTTCCAACCTCTGCAACCTCACCTTCGCCCCCCCCTTTCCTTGGTCCCCTGCCCTCAAGGCCCAGACCTTCCGGCCCCACAGAGGCACCCCCTTGTTTTCTCTGACAGACACCCACCAAGATCTCCAAGAGAACTGCAAGGACATACCGTGACAGAGGGAGACTCAGAATTGGTTTTGTAGTTCAGCTCCTTGAAGAAGATGTTGAGTTTGGCGACCCCATTTCTTTGGAGTCAGGGAGAAGGGAGGGAGAAATGGCAATGGGTTCACTTCTCAAACCCTTACAAATACCCTCCTCTCTTCCCAGATCAGTTTTCCCTCCCAAGGATTCGTCCCCCTCAGCTGGATCAGGGTAGGACTGACCTTTTGTTGTTGATAGTATAATTGTTCTGTCGGGATAGCATCTGGAAGATCCAGTCCTAGAAAAGAATGGGGGTGTCAATGGGGTCACCCCATACTCTTCAGGCTTACAGGGTGGGGGGTGGGATCAAACACATCCATACACACACATACACCCAGAAAAGACCACAGTGTTACACACACACACACACACACACACACACACACACACACATCCCCTCTCCCTCGTATCCCTCCCCTTCCCCACATTACCTGGGATGTCACTGAGGGCCATCGTGAGTAACCAGCAGAGAGCTGGTAGCTGGTCACACTGGGGATGGAGAAAGGAGCTCAGTGATGGGGGTGGGGTTCTCCCACCCAGCCAAGTGGCTAGCTGCCCAACCTGTGCCCCAGGGGAAGGGGACACTCACCTGCACGGCTTCCGGCACTTGGTGAAACACCCCAGGCGGTCTGAGGAAAAGGCATCCTGGAGCTTATAGTAACAGTAACCTGTGGGTGCAGAGAGATGCCCATTTCCCTAGGGCACCTCAACCTTCTGCACCCCAAACCCAAGAGGTCTCCCAAGATATGTGGGTTCCCACATCACAAGTAGCATTACAGTGATGTCTCCTGAGTGGCAACACCAAAAATGTTGAAAAAATGAAGCTACGTAAGGAAAAAAACCAAAAAACAAAAAACAACCCAGGACTCATCTATGTAAAGATGAATAGGATATGGACAAAATTCTAAAATTCAAAAAGAGGGGTGCCTGGGTGGCTCAGTCACCTGAACATCTAGCTCACTGATTGATGGCTCGGGGTCATGGGACTGAACCCTGTTTAGGATTCTCCCTCTCTCTCTCCCTCTGCCCCTCTCCCCTACTCATACTCTCTCCCTCACGCTCTTTCTCTCTCTCTCTCTTTCTCTCTCTAAAATAAAAGTCAAAAGGAAAACTGGGAACAATTGTTATGGAAGAATCATGAGATTAAACCACAATGAGATGCACTTCACACCCACCAGGATGGCTATTAAAAATAAATAAGTAAGTAAGTATTGGTGAGGATGTGGAGAAACTAGAATGCTCCTCTATTGCTCCTGGGAACATAAAATGGTGTGGCCACTTTGGAAGAGTCTGGCAGTTCCTCAAAATGTTGAGCACAGAGTTATGATATGACCCAGAAACTCCACTCCTAGGTATATACCCAAGAGAACTGAAAACATATGTTCACACACAAAATGGAAACAGGAAATAGAAACAACCCAAATGTCCATCCACTGATGAATGGATAAACACACGTGACGAATCTGTACAATGGAACATTATTCAGCCATAAAAACAAAGTACTGACAGATGCTACAAGCTGGATGAACTTTGAAAATGGTGTGCTAAAAAAAAGAAAAAAGAAAAGAAGAAGAAAATGCTGTGCTAAATACAAGAAGCCAGTCACAAAGGACCACAGATGATTCTATTTATATGAAATGCTCAGGACAGGCAAATCTGTAGAGACAGAAAGTAGATTAGTAGTTTCTGGGGGTGAGGTGGGGGGCTGTGGGTGCAGAGGATGGGAAGCTCAGAGAGTGCTGATGGGTAAGAAGTTTCTTTGTGGAGTGATGGAAATGTTCTAAAGTTGACCGGCCACTACTGTACAGCTCCGTGATTATACTGAAGACTAAAACTATACTAAAATCAAATGGGTGAATTACTTGGGATAGAAATTATCTCAATTGAGTTGCTACCTAAAAAAAAGGGGGGGTGGGGAGAATGAGTCTATGGATCTCCCTTCTCCCCTATTCGCCAGGTTCTAAGTAAGTATGTTCTATTGTGTCATTCTTGCTACTTTTAGTTGCCTGGTCCAGAAGTCCTTCTCCATTTCTGACCCAAATCCCTCCATCTATGAGGGCTGGGAGTCTGGAACGGTGAAGCATGGGGAGCAGCTGGGTCCCTTCCTCTGGGGAGTAAACAGTCCTTGGGAGACTGTTCCTCTCCCCATCCCCACGGCTTCTCAGCCATCAGCATTGTTATTTTTCCTCTCACAGATCCTCAAACTCACAAGCACTTAGAAATCATTGTTTGGGGGCAGCAGGGAGCAGGGGGCAGGGAGTCCCTGCTCTGCACATCCTCCTCATCCTCAGACATGACATCACGACTTCCCCCTGGGCCCCTGAGTGTCCCTCCAGCTCTGATGTGCTCTGACATAAGGTGGGAGAGATGGGAACCAAATGCAGGGCAGGGGAGAGAGCTGTGTGGAGCAGACCCAGGGAAGGGAGGAGGCAGGAAGATCCACAGGGACAGAACCAAGAGAGGCAGACACTATAACCCCTGGGGTCTGTCCCATCCCCTCAGAGGTGTGGAGGTTCATCTCCTCCAGCAGTGGCCACCAGCAGAGGGAGAGCTGGGCCCAAGGGAGCCAGACAGGAGGACCCTCAGGTCACAGGCGCCAGTTGAGAGCCTGTGCACCAGGATTTCTAACCCTCTACTTTCCAGTTTCTTGTTTGGGATTTCCTTTCTCTCAGCTTCCTACCACAGAGCCTCCATGGGGCATAACTCCGCTATAGTGGAAAGGAACAGGGATCTGTCTACTCGTAATCCAGGATTAAAAAGGAGATCTCAGGGGCGCCTGGGTGGCTCAGTCGGTTAAGCATCCGACTTCAGCTCAGGTCATGATCTCACAGTTCGTGAGTTCGAGCCCCGCGTAGGGCTCTGTGCTGACAGCTCAGAGCCTGGAGCCTGCTTCACATTCTGTGTCTCCCTCTCTCTCTGCCCTTTCCCTGCTCATGCTGTGTCTCTCTCTGTCTCAAAAATAAATTAACATTAAAAAAAAAGGAGATCTCAGTGCTCTCCAAACTTTTTTTGATTGTGCCCACCTGTAGGTAAAAAGGTCTTAAGTAACTCCAACATATGTATTTGATTTATAAATTACAAACTTGCTACTATAGAATTGATCCATTAAGTACATTATAAAACATATATAAAATGGAAGATGTTAGGGAATGAGGTAGATACATCTAACTTCTAGTATTTTCTTCCTGCACCTGCTGAGCTGTCCTGTGCCTCGCCCGGCACCGGAAGAGTGAGACAGGGAAGCTACAGGCAGAGTGTGGAGTGAGCAAGGTTTTCTTCACGTGCTCCTCCTTCCTTCTGCTGCAGGTTATTTTTAAAGGGGGCCTTTCTCTATAAACACACAGAAGCCAAAACCCAGAGAGAGAAGCCCGAGGGAGGAAGGGAATAGAGGGGAGAGATGGAGTGACAGGAAACAGAGGGGCTGGAGCGCAGGACAGAGGGAGAATGAGGGTCACAGAGGGTCTGAGAGGGAAGTCTGTGAGAGTCCTGGGGCAGAGGGGCCGGCCAGGGGCTCCCTGTGGTCTCACCCCAGGAATTATGCTTCCTGTAGTCACAGAACTCCGCGTTCTTGGGCAACGGATAGAAGATGTAGGCACAGCCACACTCCTTGATCATGCTGTCCTGGAAGCAGGAGTGGATACACACCTGGGGGACACAGGAGTGACAGGAAAGGGGGTTCAGGCCTGCTCTCCCCACACACAGCCCAAAAGAGGCAGGAAAGGGGAGGACAAACAATGCTCTTCACCATACTTGTACCCCTCTCTCCACCTGTCCCGTTCGCTCACACACACATACACACACACACACACACACACACCCCCCTCCAACTTGGACTGACCAACAGGGCAGGCCTGGGAGATGGTCGCCATAGAAATGGGCTGGTCTCACCTGCTGTGTATACTTGGTAAGATAAAGGTTCTCCACGGGGACTTCACTGCCATTCTTGGTACAGTCACCATAGTCGCCCCCAAGTCTGTCCAGGGCTTCCTGCAAACCCCCACACACAAAGAAATCAGAGGTCAGAAGTCAAAGCAAATGGCCCAGACCTCTTCCTGAATTCTCCACCTTCCCTCAGGTCCAGGCCATTTGTATCTCGCACCTACCAGCCTCTCCTGTCTGCCTCACCATTTCAAAACACGCCCCAGCAGCCCCCAACGCCCATCTGGGTGCTACTTTCAAGGACACTGGCTCCAGAGCACCCCTGGAACCCTAAGCACATCCTGAACCCTTCTCAGCACACTCACCCAAGGTTCCTCCTCAGGTCCCTACTTCTTCCAGCCCCTCGCCCCTAACTCTGCTTCTGAAGACGGCCACCTGCCTCAGGCCCACCCCACACGATCTCCCTCTATAGTCTTCTGGCTGGTGAGTCACCTCCCCTGCCATCTTCCCGGCCCTCTCTTGCCTTCCTCATACTGATGGAGGTCTCCACACCAGGCCTCAAGTTAAAGCCGCCATCGTCCATGAAGGCAGGCTCATCCTGCCCATGCACCATCACCCTGGCCCCGGTCACTGTGGACAGCAGCGGGATGAAGTCATTCTGCTCTGTGCGCAGCGTCAGGGACAGACCTAGGGGTGCAGAGGGAGTGGAGTGGGGGAGGTCCTGGAGGAGTGTTGGGGGATGGAAAGCCCCTTCCACGCGCCTAGTTTCTAATGCTCCACGGAGGGCAAGGCCAAGAAGACCTACATAGGGATTTGGCAGCCCCCGGGCTGGATTCAGGGGTGGGCACGAAGAACTGGGACAAGATTCCTGTAACACCTGGAAAGGACTTTGTGGTACCCATGGGGGACAAAGAACAGAGAGGACTCCTTCCAGGATGCAGACAGGCACGTTGTGGGGAGGCCCAGAGGCACACAGCATGTCTAGGACATGAGCACAAGGTGGGTAACTGTGGGTGGGCAGGGCCGTGAGAAGTGCTGAGGCACAGGGATTGCGGAAATGAGGGCTTGCTCACCATTTTTGATCCCAGGCATGGAAGACATCCAGAGGTTAGAGTTGTTCTTGCCATTGAAAGTGTAGCAGTTCCCATATATCGGGTGGTGAAAGTGGGAGTAATTCCTATCCGGGAGAGAGAAAAAGTAGAGTCAAAAAAGAAAGTTGGGGGGTGGGTGGGTCAGAGAGAGCGGGACTTTCAGTGACCTTTGTTTCCTGATCACCTACTATGTGCTAGAAGCTTTCCCCATGTTCCCTCAGCCACTCCAACCAACAGTCTGTGAGGGCATCATCCCCACGTCACAGAAGAGGAAGCTAGGGCTCAGAGAGGTCAAGTAGCTGTCCAAGGTCACACCGTGATGACAAACTTGAGACTCAAACACAGGTCATCTACCTTCTAATGCAGTCTCCTCCCCACCAGGCCACCTGACCTCACTGGCCTTGTGACCTCTCTTGTGTCACTCTGTTGCATTACGAAGACTTTGGCAGTGTCCCTAGCTTCTCGTGAATCTAAATCTTAGTTCCCCATTTGGACTGTGATCTCCTTGAGGACAAGAGTCACATCTCCTTCGTCTCTGTATCATCTCTGGGTTAACTGAATAGTTCTTGACCTACAGGCCCTGCAGAAGATCATTAATAAACAGTGGTCGAATGAATAAAGTGGAGAAATGGAAGGGAACAGAGTTAGGGGAGACAGTGAGAGCAGTGATGAACACAGAGCTGAGCGGAGGAAGGTCAGATCCCAGGACAGATATGAGAGGGAGAGGGTTCTGGTGGGATGGACTTGAGCAAGTCATTTTTTCTAAGCTTACTCTCATCTGTAAAACGAGGAGGCTGGAACTGGATGATCTGGAATATTCCACTGGCCTTGAAGAACAAAGGCCTAGAGATACGAAATACTGGTGCACATTCTAGGAAGTGCTAGGAAGCCAGCATTTCCAGAGCTAAGGCAGGATTCAGGGAGGGAGGAAAGAAGAGGCTACGGAAGTCAACAGAGGCCAGTCCTGAAGGGCCTGTAAGCCCAGCTCAGGGGGAGAGGGGACAGCCAGGTACGATGTGATGGACACACACCATGGACGGTATGCAGCAGGTGGAATCAACCAATTAGATGGAAAAACATGGATGGATCTTAAAAACAGAGCTTAGGAAAACAAGAGGGGAAACGAGACATGACCACTTATATATCCATAGGAGAATATATGAGAAGCAATATAACGTGAGGGTTAAGAGCACAGACTCCAGAACTAAACTACCCATATTTGAACCCTAGCTTTAACAAGTATTAGCTGTGGGACCAACCACGTTACTTAATCTCTCCATGCTGTAGTTTCCCCATCTGTAAAATGGGGATAAGAACAGGACTTGCCTCACAGGGGTGCTGTGAGGTTGAAATTACACTTGGAAGGTGCCTAGCACTTAGTAAGAGCTGTATACATTTGCTCTTAAGGTTACAAGCATCCGTTAAGGTGGCTAAAGTGAAAAAGACAGTAGGGGCGCCTGGGTGGCTCAGTTGGCTGAGCGTCCAACTTCAGCTCAGGTCATGATCTCGCAGTTCGTGAGTTCAAGCCCCGCGTCGGGCTCTGGTGCTGACAGCTCAGAGCCTGGAGCCTGCTTCAGATTCTGTGTCCCCCTTTCTCTCCGCCCCACCCCTGCTTGTGCTCTGTCTCTGTCTTTCAAAAATGAATAAACATTAAAAAAAAAAAAAAGTAACAAGCGGAGGGTGGGGAGAATTTAGAACCCTCATATACCGCCTGGGGAATGTAAATAGCACGGCCACTTGGAAAACCGTCTGAGAGTTGCTCAAAATATAGAATTACCACATGACCTAGGAATTCCACTCCCGGGTATATACATAAGAGAAATAAAAACATACATCCCTACAAAAACTGGTACGGGAATATTCTTAACAACATTACTCGTAATAGCCAAGAAGTGGAAACAACCCAAATGTCTATCAACTGACGAACAGATAAATCAAAGGTGGGATATCCACACAATGGAATATTATCCAACCATAAAAAGAATGAAGTTCTGGCACATGTTGCAACATGGATGAGCGTTGAAAACATGATGCTAAGTGAAAGAAGTCGGGAACAAAGGCCGCATAGTGTAGGATTCCATTTCTACGAAGCACCCGCGATAGGCAATCCGCGTAGATGGACACTAGATTCCTGGTTTCCAGGGCTGGGAGGAGGGGAGGGAATCGGGAGTGACCGCTAGGAGGTGTAGGGTTTCTTTTGGGGGTGAGGAAAATGTCCTAAAATTAGATAGGGCTTGCACAATTCTGTGAATATGCTAAAAAATCACTGAATGGTATACATGTAAAGGATGACTTTTGTGGTGTGGTAACTGTATCTCAATCAAGCTGTCACTGGAGAAAAGATTACAGAGAGAAGGAGAAAGGATGACATGGGGAGGAGAGGGATGAGAAAGCCACGATAAGGAGCTTCACCTTGGTTCTGGAGGCCACAGGAGACAGTGGAGGATTTTGAGCAGGACTAACTGGAAGAGTTGCGGAATAATGAGAGGCTTTGGCGGCAGAAAGATAATGGGAGGTGAAGGGATTATAATAACCCAGGTGAGAAATGATGAGGCTCTGAGCTAAGGAAGTGACCTAACCGTCAAGACTGAGATGAACTACGGACTTTCCGTTGATGGGGAGGTAGGAGCATGGGGCTGGCAGAGCAAGAGGACTGGTGGGAAGGTGACAATTAGAGACACCCAGTGGCAAGGTGAGATGACTGGGGCCCAGGCCCTGCTACTGTCTCATTTCCCAGCAGGCAGCTCCTGTCTTCAAACAAACAAGAAGATTGGAGACAACAACAAAATCCTATGCTGACCAGAGTGTGTGCACCAGGTGAGGGTGGGGCAGAAGCAGGTGACACCTGGCCCTGCTGCCATTCTGCAGCGATGGGGGCGGGAAGGGCCCCTAGAGAGTGGAGAGGCTGCCTCAGCACCCTGCCCGAAAAAGGTGAAAACCAAGGAGAAGTAGGAGGGGAAGGGTGGGGTAGGAGGGGCCAGAGGCTACAGCCTCAGAGAACTGCCCAGCTGCCATGACCTCTTTGCAAGGACATTGTGACTGGATCTATAGCAGAGGGAATGCCTGGCGGGCAGTGCAGTTGAGTGGGAAGGATCCTTAGCTAGCTAGGGCTGGCCTGGTGGCCTAGGGCAAGTCACATTCACCTGTTCCGTTCACGAGCAACAGAGACCCATTTTTCACTGCAGTTTACAAAATGCCCTCCCGCGTATCTCATGAACGTGGAGACGGGTGTTATCAACATCTTCATCACTTGAGTAAAAGTGCCAGAAGGGCACGGATTATATACATTGCCCTGTTTGATGTGTCCCAAATGCCTAAAACAATGACTGGCACACAGCCCAGACAGTAAAAAGTATTTGTCTGAATACACAATGAATGAATCTCATTTTCCCTGCATTTTACAAAGAAACAGTCTCTGAAGAGTGATGTGAAATGCCCAGAGTCACCTGGCCGGAAAGTTACAGAGCCAGAGCAGTGACTCAGGTCCCCTCCTTCATTCAACCCATGCTATTTCCTCCAAACCACTGCTGTCCACCTCATCTGAGAAGATGACCTTCCGGGCACCTGTGAGTTTGGTGCTAGTGACAGAGGGGCCTTCGAAAGATGGAGAACCATGCTTCCAGCCATTGGATTCTCAAAGCCAGACCTCAACTACAGCCTTCCCAGGGCAGCATATTAGGCTGCCTCACTCAGACCCAGCCCTGCAGGATAATCCATGGGGCAGAAGTTTAGACCTGAGGTCAGTGTGTCCCCTCCTCCCTGCAGGCATATATTTAGTCCAAAGGCCTTTCCTGGGTGCTGCCCATCTGAGCCTCAGGCTGACTTCAGAAAGAAGACTCCGTGGAGAGCACAGAGCCAAGCAGGAGGGACTCACGCCTGATTGCAGGAGGCCTGGTTGAAGCGACAGGCAAAGATGAAGTTGTCCAGCATGTCCTCCTCTGAGGATGGAGAAGTGTCCCGCAGTCGAGAAAGAATGTTGATGTAGTGGAAACGGTACCACTCCCTCACTGCATCCACCCCTGACGAGTACGTCTGGTAAAAGCAGTCCGATTTGTTCCGGTTGCACTAAACACAGAGAGCATCAGAGGATCAGCAGCAGGGGACAGGCGGCAGGGCAGGCTAACGTCAAAGAATGAGTGGTCTGAGGTCCTGAGGACTGGGGTGGGGAGCCAAGAGTGAGAACAGAAGGCAGAAGTTGAAGCCCGTAAGAGAGTGGACCAGGAGAGCCTAGGCTTAAGGGAGCAGTCGGCCAAGGAGACCAGGAGCTGTGGTCCCAAGTGTGGGTCATTTATACAGCCTCTGCAAGACGGTGGAGCAAGGATTCATCTCCCCACTTTACTGATGGGAAGACGGAGGAATCCAGAGGCTTGCCCTAGCGACTGAGCTAGGACTGGAACTCAGGTCTCCTGGTTGTGCGGTCCACTCTCCCCAAAGGGGGCCTCTCTTCTTCCCTCTGCTCCTCTCCCGCTTCCACTTACTCTCCCTTTTATTTTTTATTAAAATAATTTTCTAAGTCTCTCATTTTACTGATTCCTTATTCTCTATCTCAGGCAGGCAGAGCCCCAGTTCCCTGCCATACAGGAGGGTCCCAAGGGAGTCCCGACCAGTGGGGGGCTGACGATTCAGAAAGGTGCTTTTTCCGCCACAGATTTGACTTCCAGACGTTTAAACCCTCCCACAGAGGTCCCAGCGAGGAGACCCCCACAAGCTGGCGTTCAGAGAGATGTTATTTAGTTATGTATTTTGCCAGCAGGCCGACGAGGTTCCGCCTCCCGTCGCTAGGCAACAAAGGCGGGGTCCGGAAAGGGAGTGCTGTCGGGGAGTGGGCAGAACCGGAGGGTCCGGGCAACCAGGAGGGGCGGGACCCGAAGGCCGGGGGCGGGGCCCCGGGGGCGGGGCTTACCAACTGGAAGCCGACCTTCCAGTCCTTCCTGTTCACTTGGGGGTTATTGTCCCGCACGCTGGAGGCGGCGCTGCGGACTCCGCGGGCCCCGGGGGGCGGGGCTGGGGCCCACAGGCGCTGCAGGGGGTGCGGCCAGGGCTCCCGCAAGTCGCGACGACCGCGGGGGTGGGTCCCCAGGGTGCTGGAGGAGTTGTATTTGTACAGGTCGTAGAGCGTCTGCTCTGTGATGCGGTCCAGCTCCTCCAGCTCCTCTTTAATTTGCGTGTACCTGGAAGGGGCGATGGGAAGAGGGTCGGATTTGGGGGGCGGCTTCGCGCTAGTCCCTGGCCCTTCAGGGCCTCGGTTTCCTCGCCAGAAACCGGTGAGGTCGGTCCATCCTGGAAAAGCCTGCAGGGAATAACTCTGGTGTCTCCAAGGCTCTCTCGGAGGGATGGGGACGTGAGGGTGTAGACTGGTTTTCCACGGAGTTAGTGGAGGCGACTATGAGCCCCGGCGGTGACGGCATTTATTACGGCCTGTTTATCAGAAGGGAGAGGCGGAGGCTCCTGTCGGTGAGGCCCTCTCCTCCCACTCGCCCTGGCCGCGAAGGGAACCCGGAACTCGTCTGCCCTTTTCCAAGACGGGAGAGGGTGTGGCCGCGGCCTTCGCCCACAAGCTCCCTCAGACCCAGCGAGCAGGTCAACCCACCCTGGCCTCCTCCGGCAAGGGTGGCCTTTGGCTCTGTCTGCCGCCTGGCACCTTCTAAATTAGGGATGCTTAACTGCACTTCTAGAATTTCCCCAGGAACTTTAAAACTACAGATGCTGCACACGGCCCCTCCCCATCAAAGACTCAGTTTTAATGAGATGGGTGGGGCCCAAACACCATAAGTTAAACGCTGTCCAGGATAAATCATCACATTCCTTCTCAGCACAGGCATTGTTACCCGCTCCGTCATGAAAGTCCATAGTAGCAGCGCCGTAGGGATAGAATCTACCAAAACAAAACAAATACACCTAGAACTAATACATTCAACAAGGTTGTAGTGTACAAAACCATTGTACAAAAATTAATTGTATTTCTACATAATAACAACAAAAAAATGGAAAATTACATCACAAAAACCACCATATTAAATAGCATAAACAACATCAAATACCAGGAATGAATTTAATGAAAGAGGCAAGAGTTTTACACCGAAAATCATGCTGAGAGAACTCAAAAACCAAAATAGAGAGTTACATGAGTTCCTGGGTCTGGAACTCTGTATAGTTAAGATATATTCCAAATTGGTCGTTTGATTCAACACAACCCCTATCAACATTTCAGCACACATTTTGAAGAAACTGATGGGCTGATTTAAGACGTATGTGGAAATGTAAAGAATGTAGAGTGGTCAAAGCAATTTTGTTTGTAAGTTTATTTTTAAGTAATCTCTACACCCAACATGGGGCTTGAACTGATGACCCTGAGATCAAGAGTCACATGTTCTTCTGACTGAGCCAGCCAGGTGCCCCTCAAAACAATTTTGGAAAAGAGCAAAATTGAAGTACTTAGTTCTACCTGACTTCAAACTCACTATAAAGCCACAGTCATCAAAACAGTGTAGTGCTTATGTAAGGACAGACAGTAGATCGATAGAACAGAATAAAGTCCAGATATATACTCACACGTATACAGTCAACTGAGTTTTGACCAAAACACCAATTCAATTCAATGGGGAAAATCATTTTTTTAAACAGAGTATGCTCTATTGAGAAAGGAAAAAAAACAAAAACAAAAAAAAGAAACTCAACCTCCACCTCAGTTTCTACACAAAAATTAAGTCAGTTTGAATCACAGACCTAAACGTAAAATTCAGAACCAGAAAGATTCTAGAGGAAAACATCAAAGATATCTTCATGACCTTGAGGTAGACAGTATTTTTTGCAATAAGTATCTAAGGAAGAACTTATTGTGAAATATAAAGACTTTTTACAAATTGGCAATAAAAAGACAGGTTGTTTAGGGGCTCCTGGGTGGCTCAGTCAGGGTTGAGCGGCTGCATATTAGTTTCGGCTCAGGTCATGATCCCAGGGTCATGGGATCAAGCCCTGAGTCAGGCCCATGTGGGCCGTCCCCCCAGCCCTCCCCTCTGCTTGGAGCATGGAGTCTGCTTAGGATTCTCTATTGTTCTCCCTCTGCCCCTGCTCTCTCTCTAAAATAAGGGAGCACCTGGGTGGCTCAGTCGGTTAAGCTTCAGACTTCAGCTCAGGTCATGATCTCACGGTTCGTGGGTTCGAGCCCTGTGTTGGGCTCTTGCTCAGAGCCTGGAGCCTGCTTCAGATGCTGTGTCTCCCTCTCTTTCTGCCTCTCCCTTGCTCACGCTGTCTCTCAAAAATAAATAAATGCAAAAAAAAATTTTTTTTAAATGCACCAAAAGATAGACAGTCACTAAACACAGGAAATGTGCTCAACATAATTAGCCTTCAGAAAAATGCAAATTAAAACCATAATGATCGGGGCACCTGGGTGGCTCAGTTGGTTAAGCATCCAACCAGCTCAGGTCACGATCTCGCGGTCTGTGAGTTCGAGCCCCGCATCGGGCTCTGGGCTGACAGCTCAGAGCCTGGAGCCTGCTTCGGATTCTGTGTCTCTCTCTCTCTCTCTCTGCCCCTCCCCCATTCATGCTCTGTCTCTCTCTGTCTCAAAAATAAATAAACGTTAAAAAAAAATTTTTTTTAAAAACCATAATGATCAATTCACTGTGGTGCATACCTGAAACTAATAGAATATTACACATCAACTCTACTTCAACAACAAAAAAATGCAATTAAAAAAGGCAAACTTCTAAAAACAGGTAATGAGGCCACCATTTAACATCCGTGAGAAGGGCCAAACAAGTAAAAGACTTGGACAGTGTCAACTGGTGAGAATGGAGAGCAGCTGGGGTTGCAGCTGGTGGGAGAGTCAGACAGCACAGTTGATTTGGCGGGTCATCTGGCAGCTTCTCATAAAGTTAAACATACATCTACCTTATGACCCAGCAATTTCACTTCTGGATATTTTACCCGATTCCACTCCCCGCTATTGACTCAAGCACAAGGAAAACATAAAGACTTGTACGTGAATGTTCATAAGCACTTTTATTCATAATTGCCACAAAGCTTGAAACAACCCAAATGAGCCTGGGTGGTTCAGTCAGTTAAGCGTCTGACTTTGGTTCAGGTCATGATCTCACAGTTCGTGAGGTCAAGCCCTGCATCAGGCTCTGTGCTGACAGCTCAGAGCCAGAAGCCTGCTTCAGATTCTATGTCTCCCTTTCTCTCTGCCCCTTCCCCTCTTGTGCTCTGTTTTTCTCTCTCTCTCTTAAAAATAATAAACATTAAAAAAAAATTTTTTTTAAAGGGGGGGCTGATACAGGCAAAAAGCATGAGAGAATTTGAGAAATATTAAGTTCAGTAAAATGGGTATGTTGAGCCAGACACATTAAAAAAAAAATTCATATTGTGTGATTCCCTTGATGTGAAGTCTGAGAACAAGTCAAACTAATTGATGGTGACAGGAGTCAGAGAATGGCTGTGGGAGAGAGAGAGGAATGGGCTTCAGAGGGCCATTGTGTGATGGAAATGTTCAGTACCTTGATTAGCAAACTTCGGTGAGGGCTTCAGATTTGTGTGAGGGCTTAAGATTTGTGCATTTTAGGGGGTCTGGTTGGCTCAGTCGGTTAAGTGTCTGACTTCAGCTCAGGTCATGATCTCACAGTTTGTGAGTTCGAGCCCCGCATCAGGCTCTGTGCTGATAGCTCAGAGCCTGGAGCCTGCCTCAGATTCTGTGTCTCCCTCGCTCTCTGCCTCCCCCCCTCTTGCTCTCTCTCTCTGTCTCTCTCTCTCAAAAATAAACATTTAAAAAAAAGATTTGTGCATTTCATCATAAGTAAATTATACCTCAACTAAAGAAAAAGTCACATACCTGTGTTTAGGGGGGCCCTGCCAGAGATTGGTGTTTACTGGGAATGTTGGTGGGGCCCAAACAAGGTTGTTTTACAAGAACCCCAGGGACCCTAAAGTGCAGCTACATTAAACAGTCTCTAGGCCATACCCTACTGTCTACTCCACTTGGCTCTGTTTCTCTTTCCTTCATAAAGTCTAGCTGGCTAGGCCGTTAGGCATCGGCTCCAGATACCCCTCATGCCCTCAGAAAATGTAGCCCAGGTCCAACCAAGGTGTGTGTTTGACATTCCAAGAGACTTGCTTGTGGTTGGTAATGAAAAGAATGGCAGTGATAGCTCGGATTTATTGAGCACTTACTATGAGGTTGGCCCTGTGGTATTCGAATGAACACTCAATCTTCAGTGTAATTCAGAAAACTATCTGCCACTGTTAGCTAATACTTTTTACAGGTGAAAAACCTGAAAAACCTGAAGGTGACTTGTTTAAGATCACGCAGCCAGGAACCAGGTCAGAAAGCACTATATCCATCCCACTGTCCTTTGCTCTGTCCCTGCTAGCTCTGGCTATTTTAGCAGATGGACAAGCTGCCCCAGAAAGAGCACCAGAACCAGAAGTGACTGGATGTGGGGCCTGGCATTCCAGCCACACACTTCTAGCTGGGGAATGTTGGTGAGGAACTCAACCTTCCTGAATCCAGGCCTCAGTTTCCCCATCTGTAAAATGGGCATAACACTAGATCTGCATACCACATGAAGCTCTTACAGGGTTAAATGAGAAAGTATTCAGTGGCACAAAATGAAGAGGCCATTGAATCTCAGGAAGACATGGATGGGGGCCCAAAGCCCAAGAAACTCAACTTGGTCACACAGGAAGAATCCAGGTCTCCCACCATGGCTGGAGTCATTTCCACCTGAGCCACCACATCTCTGGCTGAGCCTCCCTTGGCACACCCCTCTAAGCTGTCTCAAGTCGCCCTGTGCCCCCCTTCTGCCTTGTACACCTGCCTCATCCTCATCAGAGACTCAGAGCTGTCACCTTCTGTAGCCACAAGGCTCCTCCCCACAGAGCCCCAAGCTGTCCCTAAGCCAGGTCTCCCCTCAGTGGTCTCCCTCAGATTCAGCTCCTTCCTGCCTCTTCCAGAGAGGCCTCTGATGAGACCACAACCCCCACCTCCAGAAGAGGCTGGGCTCCATACAAAACACCCTCCTTCCCAAGGTCTACTTTCCTTTTGGTGGGGAGCCCTTAAGGAAGAGATATTCCCATATCACCCCTTCAGAAAAGAAATCTCTCCCTCCCTTTCACCTGACACCTAGAACTAAGAAAACTGACCACTGAGTAAACCTCACTAATGCCATCA